GAAAATTTGGACGTATGCGTCCGAACCACTAGGCGGCGACAATGAAAGAGTTAAAATATGTACTTATATGTATGTAGTAAATGTGTGGTGAAAAAAGACTTACGTATAACGTTACAAATGCAACCACTTTGAACAGCACCTCTCCCTCGCCTTGGCGCGCAAACAGTTACGTGACGCTCCTGTTCCCCTTCAGGTCCGCATTCTATACCTAGCACGCTGGGTTACAGTTATTAGTAATTGTCAACCCTATTTGGGTCAAATTAACCCAAAGTGCTAATCCAGCATCCTCTACCCAGCATTTGGGTGTACCCAGCGTTTTTAAGAGTGTAGCATATAAGCAGTGTTTTTCTGTTTCATGCTTTACATCTCAATTTTGGTACCTTTTGCATTAAAAAATGTTTAGCATTTTGTGTTTTATAAACAAATTATAGTTTATGAAAAGTTTTATCAGAATTTATGCGATTCAACGTATTTCAAGTCAACTAAAAATCTTGCTTTAGCCATTTTAAGTGAATTAAAATAGCAGTTAAGGTAGACATTTACCAAAATTTTGCCTTTAAAAAACTAGCAAGACTGTGTCCAATTGTCATGTCCCCTTCTGTCCTAGTTTTGGGCTCTTTAAGTGTTCAAAGTGAAATAGGAAGAAGCAAAATGGGTTCTCATTTTACGGCAGTTTAAAATATGTGATTTGAAACTCATGCCATGCTTTTCTCTTCAAATCACGTGGCATCCCTACTGGAAAAACCAGCTAGACCAGCTCAAGCTGTGTTTTGGAACATGGTAGCTGGTAGCTGGTTAGACCACCCAATTCCAGCTTAGCTGGTGGCTGCATTTTTCACTGACTGATTCAATTGATTTTTAGCTAGTTATTTATGAAAAATTATTAACAATTGTTTTTTAATAACAGCTTCCAGTTACAATACATCTCCAAAGACTGTTCTGCTTAATGAAAAGAAAAAAAAAACACATTCAGGAGGAGAATTCAGTTTATTTATGTGAATCATTCAACAATGTTTATCAAAACACATTTTGTTTTTTTGTGTCCTTAAATTGATATGAGAAAAAATATTTATTGTAATTAATTGGCAGTAATAACCCTAATGAACATTACTGAACTAAAAAGTACTAACAATTTTCAGCAGCTTACATCACATGCAAATTCACTTTTTTGGCTTAAGTTTTTTGTTGATGTCTTGAATTTTTTCTGTTATATAGTGCCCAAGTTTTCCTGCTCTGGCCTTCAGCTCTCCTTCATCCAAATTTTTGCCCTTCAGCCACTTTTGAAAGCAACCTAGGAAAAAAGACATAGCTGATCAATCAATTGCACAGCAAATACAATCAACGGATTACATGAACAAAGTAAAAGTCAGAAAAATCTAGCGGGGACCAGTTATTTGTTGTAGTAGCACCTCATAAACCTCCATTTCCACTACCAAGGTAAATTGTTACTGTTTTTGTTCTATACTGATTCTATAAAGACACTGACACAGTTATGTTTTCTTTTTCAATTGTGGTGCTGTGAAATCAGCATTAGAATAGACTGACTAAGCAAATGGTGTATCGCAAATTGTGTTGTTGGTTTGTATATAAGGGTAGTTTGGATTATCTGCCAAAGCACAGAATCACAGTCATGCTGATAATTAGAACAGCACACTCTTTGCTTGTTTACTATTGTGTGACATTATTTATATTAGTATGCACAATGATATTCAAGTATAAACAAATACCTCTGCTTGCAGATAACTATTTCACACTGGAAAAACATTTAACAATTACATAAATCTCTAAAGTTCACATATCACTTACATTTAAGTGCTCTGAATTTGTGAGGTGTCAGAGGGGGTCTGGGATCAGATTTTGTGGTGGGGCAACTTTTTCCTTCCAGGCTACGGTTGGCCAGTGTGCTTGTTCCCCAAATGCACACTGCCATTTCTTTCACGAACAAGCTGTCCTTTATATTATCCTGTATCTTTTTCCATTTTCCACTGTGTACAAAAACACCTTCACCAATATCAACCTGTATGAAAGAATGTTTTAAAATTGAACATTAATCAAGAAATGTAACAGAATTGTAGTTTTTTTTTATTTTTATTTTATGTATAATCAAAATTACACACACATTTTACAATTGTTTTCATTAGCAGTTGTTGGATTCAAAAGAAATCTAAACATTGAGAAAATCACCTTTAAAGTTGTCCAAATGAAGTTCATAGCAATGCATATTACTAATCAAAAATGAAGTTTTGATATATTTACGGTAGGAAACTTACAAAATACCTTCATATAACTTGATTTTTACTTAATATCCTAATGATTTTGGCATAAAAGAAAAATCAATAAAAATGACCCATCTGATGTATTTTTGGCTATTGCTACAAATATGCCCGTGCAACATAAGACTGGTTTTGTGGTCCAGGGTCACAAATAAGAAGTAACAAGTAGACCAAGTGTCTCCTATATATACACTATTTGAATTAAATAAATACATACCTCATGCTTCTCTGAAATTTGTTCAAAGCTGTTCTCTGTAGGAAAGAGTGTAAAGTTAGGGATTTGGACTCCTTATAACAATGGGGCCAGATTAAACATATGGACAACTGTGTCAAGGGGCACCACACAATACATTTTTGCCTGTTCAAATCTTTTTTGTTTTCAATTTAATGGCTATTAAAAACTTTGTGATACCAAATGGGAATGCCACCTGTGTGGTAGTTGTATGGATGATATTTATACCGGAATAAAGATAATGATTGACTGCATTAACCATTGGATTGAAATGTTGATGTGCAGTGATATATATCAAACTTAGCAGATTAAAACAAATGGGCCAAAAAAGGGGGCCAAAAAGGGTGCACCCCTGGATGTGATGCCAATGAAAATATGCCAAGTTGTCCATAAGGCTAACCTGGTCCTGTCACCAAATCTTTTCACTATCCTTAATACTAATACTAATAATATTAATTGTGATTGCAGGGGTCGACAAAAAGGAGTGCCCAATGGCCCAGAGCCAGCTTGAAAGATGTTTGGGACAGTTGACGAATTTGTCACTGGCCCGATCGGGCCAATGCTGCGTTGCCACAAAAGTTTATAATTTGCATGAGTTTTTAAGCCTTGTTCATTTAAAATTAAGCGAAAACAGAGAGACACATCTCTGATGGACAAATAGCCTACAAAAGTATGTCAGAATAGATGAATTTTGGCAACTAAGCATGTCTGAAGTTTAAAAATTACCACTACTACTACTACTAGGCTAATAATTTGTATTAGTAATAGTGGTAGTTGTATTACCATCATTTAATATTTATACATTTATTATTTTATCATTTATTAATATTTATACAGTCATTATTTTTTCTTCTTATTATTATTATTATGCATAAAATCCTACCAGTTGTCACTGGAAGGGCCTTAATAGAGCCTGGAGATGTGTTGTTGCCTGAAAAATAAAGGACAAACATCATGTTTACATGTGTAAAGCAGTCATACATTGGGAAATTCAGTAACCTGAGTGTGGTGTTTTAAAAAATTACCATTACTACTAATACTACGACTAGGTTAATAATTTGTTGTAGTAGTAGTAGTGGTGGTGGGATTGGTATTACCATAATTTATTAATATTTATACTTTCATTATTTTTTCTTATTATTATTTTTTATTATTATTATTATGCACAAAACTTTACCAGTTGTCACTGGAAGGGCCTTAATAGAGCCTGGAGATGTATTGTTGCCTGAAAAATGAAGAACAAACATCATGTTTACATGTGTAAAGCAGTCATACACAGGTAAATTCAGTAATCTGAGTGTGTAATAATAATAATAATAATAATAATAATAATTACCACAAAGAATTTTGGCAACTAAGCATGTCTGAAGTTCAACATTTAATTTCCTCAATTCCTTCCCTTCAGCAATTGCCTCTTGATATTTCCGAGACAGCAATTTGTACCTCTTTTCAAGTTCATCAAATTTCGATTTTTGAATTAGTTCATCCTCACTCTCACTTGATATTTCATCATCTACAATGAGTTTTTCCCTTTTTGTTGTAGAATGAGGAGGACATAGTGGTTGTTTCCTTTTCAAGGCTTGTCTCTTTTTTAAAATGTCCATCAGAAATGTCTGCCTTCCTTCCTCAATGCTTGTCTTCTGTGCTGTCTGAAAATGCAAGTTAAAATGAAATATCTTAAAATATTTTTTTTTTATGACGTTAATTAGCCTTTTCATGTTACCTACAGCATTATCTTTTGCTTCCTTCCTTTCTGAAGTATTGTTTTCTGGTGGAATTTTATCAAGCAGCTTTGGCACTCGAATTCTTTTGCCAGTTGCCAGAAATTGTTCAATTTCTTCACAAGTTTCTGGAAAAATACATAAACAAACAAACAAATAAACAAGATGATTATGTGAATAAGTGTTGTGAGTAAATGTTTCTTTACAGTCTAAAACTGTTATATTACTCAAGTATATTTTATTATACTTGATTCATAACCCTTAAAATTCCCTTTAATTTAAAATGACTTTAATGTTAACTGTAAGATGAAGCAAATGTTTTTACCTGTATTAAATTGACAGGAAAAATCTGAAAATCTAAAAATCCACACCTAATTGAACTGGTTTAATTTCAAAACCCATGAATAATTGAGGTTACATTAAAATGTAGAAAGAGCTAGGAGTACCACGTTTTGTGACTATTAGCAACAACAAACTTAGCCTGATTAGCTGCGCATTTTCATGGTCCACAAACGTCCTAACTGTTTGCTAACCTAGTCTTCTACACATTTCATAGACAAATATTGCAATTTAAGATGCTTAAATTAATACTTTACCTTTCATGAATAAAATTTGTCCTGACGTGAACCGTCCTTTTTGCAGAATCCAGTAGGTCTGCGTCGATGAGAAATCCGTCGTATTTTTAGGATCAAAGTGTTTAATGTCTTTAACATTAACGGAGTCTTTAACACGGTCGTCTAAAAAATAAACATATGCGAACATTTTGTAACTTAAACACACTGTTCGTAGATTTTAAGCACGACCCTGAGCTTTCTCCGTATGTGACGGAATCCGATTTGAGAAGCCGCCAAAAACCGTTGCAAACTTACCTGCGCGTGACACTTTGATACGTCTCGAGCTGCTGTTGCCCCAGCAACAGGTGTACCCGGCGCACATTCAATAACCCAGTAAATTAATGTAAGTAATAAAAATCTACAAAGCTCTTATATTTTATCAAAATTTCCCCAATATTCGTTAAAAAATACCTTTTTTCTTATACTTTTTTTGGCCGGTTGACAGATTTGACTCGGTGAAGTTGACAGCTTTGAATACGCTACGCACGTACACGGCCCTTCAAAGGGTGTAATGGTAAGAAAATTAAGAAAACTGTTTTGACAGTATTACCAAAAAATTGGCTGCATGATATACAATTTCTATTTGATATAACTATATTTTAACTTAACAAAAATGGGACAATTCATCCCAATTGTCCATTAAAAGTTCATAAAAAATGGGACACTCACACACACAGACACTCACAACCTAATTTTGATTCCCCCCCCCCTATAAGCAGATACTAGAGAGGTCAAGAAAGTCTAGGATTCTTTCTGATTCTAAAAATTCATAGTGGTGAGTTGAGAAAAAAAAATCTGCTAGTTTAAATATTTGCAAACATAAAATTTGTTTACTTTTTGTTTATTATTATTAAGAAGGGGCTGAGGCAGGGGTGGGGGTGGTTGATGGTTACTGATTGGCATGTTAGAGTGAGAGAGATAGAGAGAGAGAGAATAATTTATTTTTCTAATTTATGTCTCAGATTAGATTCTATATTTTTTGTCTTTGAGAACAGAGAGATGTTAAAGAAGAGTAGACAGTGAAGAGATATGACTACAAGATGAAGAGGTATAAGCAGTACCTGGAGCCAGATAATACTTATCTGTTGCCAAGGACTACAAGATTCAGATCCTACACATGCAGTTCCAACAGCGACGCACCTGGTCCATCAAGAAGTCATGTTTTTGAGAATCAGAATCTGAACTAGAGAAAAGAAACTGTATATATGGCACTGAAGGACGAAGTGAGGATGGAAGTGAGACAAATGATGTATGTGCAGTTGAGACAGAGGAACAAAAGAGAGTAAATTGTGCTTTAGGGCATTATGAAAGTGAGACATCAAATAAGTGATGAAGAAAGAATGGAATTAGAAGAAGGAAATTGAATTAAAAAATTGAAGGAAATTAGATGGTGAAAAGTGAAACAGCAAGTGATGGAGTCAGTGAAGCAGGTGAAAGTGATGAAGACAGTGATGTTGAGGAACATCATGATGAAGATGAACCTGACACCAGTCCAAAATTTGCAGAAAACCTAAATGTCCCAATATGCAGGTTTCTCTCGATCACTAAGGCTGAACTACTCCTGATACTCATAACATTTACACTGAAACACAATTTAGCCTTTGCTGCACTGCTTGACCTGTTGAAATTGATTAATTTCATTTTCTCTTCAACTGTACTACCGGCCTCTAAACACATGCTCAGTAAGGTATTTGCACACTTTAGCCAGAGAACAGAGCTTCATTTTCTCTGTACATTCTGTCAGTCATATCTTGCAAGTCAGACAGAAGATAATCAGAGGAAACACTATGTGTGTTCAAACTGCAACAAGACAAACATTACCCAAGATCTGAAAAGCCAAAGCTACTTTGTAACCTTACCAGTCGATTTACAAGTTAGATCACTCCTTGAAAATGACAACTTTAGAGATTCACTCAACATTCGATTTTCAAGAGCAACATCAGAAAATGTCCTTAGGGACATTTATGATGGTGATATGTACAAGGAGCTCTCACATCCGGGTGGAATTTTGCACAATAAGAATAACCTTTGGTATGTGTTCAATTCAGATGGAAGTCCCTTATATAAAGCCTCCGGTACATCAGTCTGGCCAATACAGCTAGCTATAAATGAAATTCCCCCTGCAGAACGTAGGAAAAACATGATACTTGCTGGTCTGTGGCATGGGAAAGGAGAACCCCGGATGGATATTTTTATTCACAGATTTGTAGAGCAAGCAAAAAAACTCATCACAGATGGGGTGATGTGGTGGAACAAGATCACAAATTCGTGGATAAAAACTAAACTCGTAGGGTTATGTTGTTGTGTGGACTCCGTTGCTAGACCCCTGTTGCAAAACATCACCCAGTTTAATGGGTACCATGGCTGTGGGTTTTGTTATCATCCAGGGCAATACATCAGTATGGTGTATTGATACAATCAGGTATCCTGTTAGTGAGGAGCAGCATGCTGACAGAAATGAAGTAGAAATGATTCGAGACATGGAAGAGGCAGTTAGAGGAGGACAGTCTATTAGAGGGGTCAAGGGCCTATCACCATTGGTCGATTTGCCATATTTTGATGTTGTTTATGGATTTGTGCCCGATTACATGCATTGTGTTTTACTTGGTGTGACAAAGCAGCTGTCAAAATTGTGGCTAGAGGAATCGGGTACTGAATTCTACATTGGCTCCCCGGACAATCAACGTGTTGTAAATACACGATTGTCCAAAATAAAACCTCCTCAGTACATTCGCAGACTTCCCAGGGATCTCAGTGAAAGAAAGTTCTGGAAAGCTGCTGAGTGGAGATCTTGGCTCCTCTTTTATGCATTGCCTTGCCTCAAAGATATTCTCCCATCAAAGTATCTTTGCCACTTTGCACTATTAGTGCGCGCTGTCTACCTGCTTCTGGGTGACAGCATTTCAAGAGATGACATCAATGCTGCCGATCTACTACTCCTTGAGTTTGTGTTTCGTTTCCAGATGTTGTATGGAGAAAAGTCTATGACATTTAATGTCCACTTGCTACATCACTTGTCAGTGAGCGTGAAAAACTGGGGACCTCTTTGGGCACATTCAGCCTTTAACTTTGAAAATGGCAATGGACAGCTTGTAAAGCTTGTTAAAAATGCCAGGGGAGCACCACTTCAAATTGTCAAAAAGTTCATTATGAGTAAAACTCTTCCGATGTTGGCCAGCCCAGACACAATCAGTGAGAGCACACCGAAGTTCTGTAGAGATGTGGCTGAAACGGACAGACTTAAGCATTCACACACAGTAGGTGATGTCTGCTTACTTGGCTCTGCTGTAGTTTTGTCACTCAGTCTTGAGGAGGAAGTTGCTGTGAGACAGATTATTCAAAATATGCCTGTCGGTATGGAGTGCAACATTTACTGCAGGCTAATTGTGAATTCTGAGGTCATTCACTCCACAGATTACCTAAGACCAGTCAGGTCAAATGACACTGTAGTGATTTTGAAGGATGGAACGATTGGCATTGTCTACAAGATCTTAACTCTGTGCATTCATGAGTCAGAGAGCTGCATTGTGCTGTTAAAGGAAATCTGCCCTGTTGATGTGCCCCTTTTGCAAAATGGGAGATCAAGGATTTTTCTTCCCCACATTTTAGTATGCTCTCCTCATTTAGGTCAATTGCGGGCAGTTCCTCCAACCGAAATAGTGAACAAATGCTTGCACATTAACTTCACTAATGAAAACTACATCAGTGTGTTTCCAAACACTGTTGAAAGGGACATTTAACTGAATATACATAAGTGATGCTCTATAACAGCACTGAAAAATTACTGCTAAATTGCTGTAAAATGTTAGCTTACACATGTAACATTTTATCACTCATGATCATTTTGTATATTTTGTAATTATATACTTACAGTATTTAACTCACATTTACTATATTTACTCTATAAATTGCTCTGTATTTATTTATTTATCCAACCAATGTATCATTTTAAATATTTGTTGAGTATAATACTGTACACAGTGAGCATATGGTCTCTGTGGACCTCCGTCTTGTTTAAAATGATAAAATCTGATTAAATGATAGAATTTGAATAATCCTGCTTAAGATACCTACATTAAATTCTGCTACTTATCTTTCAGTTATTTGTGCGAGTCAAGCTGTCTTTCTGTCTGTGCCAGGTTACATTTTTGTTCCCTTAAAAGAGATTTAAACTGCTGTTTTAGGCCATTCCATTTGTGTTAAAGATGACCATACAATATGTTTTGAGAGAGGTACTATTTTTGCAGGCAGTACTGATGTGATATCCCATAAAACATTTATGACAATTATAACATTGGGGGAATCAACTTATGGCATTCAGCATAGGAATTTCTCCTCAAGCAACTAAACAAATATACTATAATTCAGGCCATTCATTCAAAGCAAACCAGAAAAGGCTCCAACATGTCTCTTTGTTTTTCGACGATCCCTATTGAGCTCTGCAATGGATTTGTGTGTAGCATATTTAAGTAAATATATTATAAACTTATATAATACTTGTTTTCAATTCAACATACTATAAATGTTGTTACTGGGTCGATGTGTATCAACTGAACAAGGCAGTTTTAGATCTTGATCAATTTCGTCTGGTGAAGGAGGTGCATTTTAAGTACAAGAAATATTAAATGCATGGATTAATATACCTAATATATTTCAGCAATCCTTAAGGTCTGTTCACACCAAGCATGATAACTATAAAAATGGTGATAAAGACAGTTCTAAAAAAGGCACAGAGAAGCAATTTAGCAAGCTATTTTTTTAGCTGATAAACAACAACAAAAAAACATAGCCACCCAATCAGATCCTATTATAAGAAGCTTGAGATTTAAAGCACCAGACAAGCATGCAGTTAGAATAAACTAGATCATCCAATTTGCAGACGACACTAAGGTGGGTGGGGTAGCAGATACTAATCTAGCAGCAGAGAGGCTTCAACGGGATCTGGATTT